CGCTTACCCTGGGGCCCCCGATGGTTGGGGGGATGCCCGGAGGGACCTGGCCTGGGATGCTGGGTGGGCAGGTGTGGGGAAGCACCACCGTAAGTAGTAGCCGCCGGCATGACTTGGCACGGGGGTCCGTGGCAGCAGGGCAAGCCCCCGAGCGTGCGGCACCCAGGTGCCCCCCAACACCTGGGTGCGGACAAGGCTAAATCCCTCTGAGCGGCTTAACCGGCGGCTCTGAGCTGCAAATCCCTGCGGGCACGGCGAGCTGCTGCGGTGATGCCGACATGCCCACAGCCCCCACTCTCCCCCAGGGGCCTCTCGCCGGTAGCCGACGGCCACTGGGCCGGGGGACGCCAGCACCATGACCTCGGCAAACAACTACGAGCAGCTGGAGCTGCAGCAGCAATACAGCCGCGTCAACGACCGCTGGGACGCCTCCGACGATGAGCTGGACAACGACAACAGCTCAGCGCGTCTCTTCGAGCGCTCTCGCATCAAAGCCCTGGCAGGTCAGGGGGGGACGGGGCGCAGGTCCCCTCGGTCCTCCCGGGTCGACCCTGCCGCTGGTGCCAGCGTGGTTGCTCTTGTTGCAGACGAGCGGGAGGCCGTGCAGAAGAAAACCTTCACCAAGTGGGTGAATTCACACTTGGCTCGTGTCACCTGCCGCATCTCGGACCTCTACCTGGACCTCCGGGACGGGCGGGTGCTCATCAAGCTGCTGGAGGTGCTGTCGGGAGAGCTTCTGGTAGGACATTCGTCCAGCTGGGGACCCTGGAACCCATGCCATGCCATGCCATGCCCCACCATGCCATTCCCCATCATGCCCCAAGACTTCTGGTGCTCCACCAAGGCTGTTGACTTTGGTGTTGACCAAGGTTCCACCAGGGTTGGGATGGGAGCAGCAGTGTCCCCAGGCAAGGGTGGGGGTGCCCCGCTTGGAGGGGGAGGGTGCTGAGCGCTATTGTGCCCCAGCCCAAGCCCACCAAGGGCCGTATGCGGATCCACTGCCTGGAGAACGTGGACAAGGCGTTGCAGTTCCTGAAGGAGCAGAAGGTGCACCTGGAGAACATGGGCTCCCACGACATTGTGGATGGCAACCACCGCCTCGTCCTAGGCCTCATTTGGACCATCATCCTCCGCTTCCAGGTGAGACCAGGTGGGTGGGGGGGCATACCTCAGTTCAGCACCCTGTGGCTAATTCCCAACCAGGAGCTCTGCTCTGTGGATGTCTTCTTCCAATCCTGGGATGTGCTTCTGCCCACAGATCCAGGACATCATAGAGGAGGATGGTCAGGAGACGCGCTCCGCCAGGGATGCACTGTTGCTGTGGTGCCAGATGAAGACGGCAGGGTAGGTGGTGGGACACACATCCCACAGTGCTGGGCAGCGGGGTGCCCAGAGGGTGATAGTGATGCCCTGTCCCCATTGCAGGTACCCCCATGTGAACGTCATCAACTTCACCTCAAGCTGGAAGGACGGGCTGGCCTTCAATGCCCTCATCCACAAGCACAGGTAGGCAGCATGATGGCGGGCACTGGGACATGCTGGGGTGGTGGTGGCACCAGGGGACATTCCATGGGTGTGTCACCGCTGTCGCATGTCCTCTTTCCCCAGGCCTGAGCTGGTTGACTTCCAAAACTTGACCAAATCCAATGCCCGGCACAACCTGGAGCACGCGTTCAGCGTGGCAGAGCGACACCTGGGCATCACCCCACTCCTTGACCCCGAAGGTGAGGCTGCCACTGCCAACCCTCCTGCCTCAGTTTCTCCATTACACCCTGGAACATGCCCAGGCCCCGTGGAGGAATGGAGAGGTTCCCACCTTTTTGAAGTGGGTGTGGGTGGGAGCAAAGGAGGACGTCTTGAGGCTTTGGTGGCCCATTGCCACCAGGGTGATGCCAGGGCGATGCAGAGGCCAGGCAGGACTGACGCCTCTCATTTGTGCCGAGCAGATGTGTTCACGGAGAACCCTGATGAGAAGTCCATCATCACCTATGTGGTGGCCTTCTACCACTACTTCTCCAAGATGAAGGTGCTGGAGGTGGAGGGCAGGCGTCTGGGCAAGGTAGGGGATGGCGTTGAGGTGGCAGAAGGAGGTTCTGCTGGGGTGTCGGCACCCCGTGCTCACCACTGATCCTGCCGCAGGTCATTGAGCATGCCAAGGAGACAGAGCGGATGATCGAGGGCTATGGGAGGCTGGCCTCTGACCTGCTCACCTGGATCGAGCAGACCATCGCCTCCCTCAACAGCCGCAGCTTTGCCAACTCGCTGGCCGGGGTGCAGCACCAGCTTCAGGCCTTCAGCACCTACCGCACCGTGGAGAAGCCCCCCAAGTAAGTGTCCCCTGAGCCCCTCATGGCTGCACGATGGTGTTGAGCACCCATGGGTGCCCTGGGCTGAGCTCTCTCTGGGGCAGGTTCCAGGAGAAGGGCAACCTGGAGGTGCTGCTCTTCACCATCCAGTCACGGATGCGACCCAACAACCAGCGTGGCTACACCCCGCACGAGGGGCGCCTGGTCTCTGACATCAACCGGGTACGGGGTCTGTCCTGGCAGCCTGGCTGTGTGCCATGCTGTGCCGTGGGGACACGCAGCGGCTCCCACCCGCACCC